CATATTTGAATATTGGGCAAATTTTAGGTTGATTTGCTATTTTGTCCATTTTTTTTTTTAATTTCAACCAGCATCAATCAGCCGTCAATCAAATATAATGATTTTTTGCTGAATTTTTATCAAATTGTCTGATTGGCATCAATCAGATGTGCCGATTTATAATGTTAGTCAATTTTGGTCTGATTTTTGGCCGATTTTCCATATGTCCGATTTTTTTGATTTCGACCAGTGCAAAGAAGCTTGCAATCATTTAAGTTTTCTGGTCTTTTACAATCTCCTAGTCCAAGATCTTGTACCCATCTTTTATATAATCTTGCTCCCCATAACTTATAATGCTCACCTAGCTTTCGGGCATTTGGATTGACCCATCTGTCTGCTTTTTCCTGGCTAATAAACTGCTTTCCTTTATATGTATCCTCTTTTCGACTAGAAGTTTCAGATGTTGGGATAACCTCTTTTGGTTTTTCCCTTCTTCGATTTTTTCCTTTATCTTGCTTTTTTCTTTGTTCGTTATCTTTAGTATCTTTATTAGGTGTTTGAGTGGGTAATTCTTGATTAGCTTCTTGAACGGATTGTTGGTTAACTTCTTGAATAACTTGAATTGGTGCTTGAATTGGAGTATCAGTTTTTGGTCTGCATGGATTTTTTCGCTTAAGATGCTCACAAAGTTTTTGGAGTGTTGAGCATTCATGACCACAACGTTTACAGATTGTATCTTTTTTATCATTTCTTGTTTTTCTAACCATGGTGTTATCTCTAACCGTCACACTATTACTTGCTTATATAATTTTTTCTTTAATTATTTATTTCCTATATACCTATCACTTTTGATCATAGAAACCCTACCGAAGATAAGCATTTACAAGCTTTCTGAAGCAGTTCTAGCTATTGCAAAATTGAAGCATTAACTAATTATTAATTAATTTTTTTGAATCTAGTAATAAAAAGTAGGATGATCGGTGAATATTCTTGCCCATTTCTCTGCAATACCGGAAAGGCTTGTGTAAATCCTAGTACTAGGCCTGAAGGATGTCGCTTCCATTGGAAGGCTAAAAAACGTATACCTTGTTCCGATTGTGGTAAACCTACTGCTTCAGCTTGTGGACGATGCCCATTACATATCAGAGGGTACTATGTTACCCAACACTATAATAGACTTCGATCAGAGTTACAAGAAAGACTTCGATCAGAGATACGAGAAAGAACTTTTGAGGAATTAATGGTTACTCATAGAGATGCGCTTGCAAAGCTTAATATTACTCTCTGCAGGGAATGCTTCCATCCGATAAAATTAGAAGAAGGAGAATATTGTGATAGTTGCCGGCCAGAATAAATTAAAAGACCATTTCGGCTAGCTTTATACCTTAATTTTATCCAGAATTTAGCTGGGCATTTCATTAGACTTGCTTTTTAGTTAGAGCATATTTTTTCGTTAAAGTTTTATGCTAATTGATAAGCTAGCCTATGCTGAACCCGTTCTTGACTAAGAAAAAGTTTGGATAATTTCGCAGATTTTTCTGAATTTTTACAGGGTGACGTTTCGTTAGATTTATATGACTTGATATGCTATTTTATAAGCTAATCTGCATAAAGACAGCTTCTGATATACTATTTTTCGTTAGACTTATATTACAGAACGGTATATTCTAGGGGAAATTAGGACAGTTAGACTTATTTTTTGTTAAATTATTATACTATTTAATGAGCTAGCTTATACTGAACCCGTTCTTGACTAAAGAAAAGTTAGGACAATTCCTCTAATTTTGCAGGGGTGGCATTTCGTTAGACTTTTATATAAAATATGCTATTTAGTATGCTAGCCTGCATTGAACCCATTCTTAATTAAGGAAAAGTTGGTACAAAAATCCCGTTTGATTTATTTAACAAATATGCTATTTAATGAGCTAGCTTGTACAGAAGGCATTCTTGTATATAGAAAAGTTCGTTAGATTTAAAAAGTCACATGATTTTTTTTTCGTTAGACTTATTTATGGGGTAATAAGGACCATTAGACTTAAATTTGTTAGACTTAAGTAGTTAATATGTTATTTTAAAGAGCTAACACGCGCAGAATCAATTCCTGATATAATATTTTTCGTTAGATTTAATAAATATAACTGAAAAGTTAATATAGAAATTAAGATTCTAGAGCCGTTAGAAGCTTTTCTAATATATTAATAAAAATCAATATTTATTCTGAAGTTGGAGAACCTACACAGAATTAAGAAATATAATATAAAAATTAAGATTCTAGAACTGATAGAAGCTCTTCTAATATAATAAGAAAAATCGATATTGTTTTTAACGTTCTGTGACCCGTACACACAATGTTTCAGTGGGGCCAGACCTTCGGTCCTTAAACCCCCACTTTCACATTGTGTGAAGCAGATAAAGAGAACCAAACACCTAAAAAGCGAAATGAAGTATTCAAAGCTAAAGAAGAAAGAGAAAGAGAAGTTATCGTAACTAAAGGGGAGGGTAAAAGATCAAAAATTATGTTCGATGAAGGAAAGGAGGATGAGAGTAGAACATATTTAGCCGAATTAACTTGAACATTATTTAAAGTATAAAATTCAGCAGTAATAGAGAGTCAATCTTCAATGCCAGCCTTCGAAGAAGCAATAAGGGTAGAATCATCCATAAAAGTCAAATGTGAGACAGGTAAAGAATGTTGTTCAAATTCAAGTGGAGAATAATTTAGAAGAGCTGAAGATTTTAAAATAAAAGAATCTCGTGCTTCATGATTTAGAACAGTAAGTAAAGGGATCTAAATAAATAATCCAAAGTAGAGGGAAAATAATTTCTCCTTGATCGATACCAACACGCACTCGATAAGCAGCAGTATCACCATGACAAGTAATAATTCTATTGTTATGTCGTGTAAAAAGATTCAAAATAAATTGCACTAAAAGCGCAGGGATGTGTAATCTAACTAAAGCTAATTTAAGCATATTCAAATCCATAGAGTCAAAAGCTTTAGAAATATCTTGAGAAACGATCTATAGTTCCTGATCATCAGTAGAGTCATGTTTCTGCTGATGGATAATTGCATCCAGCATCTTAATAGGGGTATCAGTAGAACCACCAGGTAAGCCCGCAAAGTTTCCTTCTTGAAGGACATTATTGTCCGCAAGGATGTTAGAGAGACGATTAGTGACGACCTTAACTACATATTTTTGAACAGTTTCCAGAAGAGTAATAGGTCGAGTGTTCTTGAGTTGAGCATCAAAATCATGAGGTTTAGGAATAGAATAAACCACGGCTTTACGCCAATCAGCAGGAATATCACCGCGAGAAAGGCAGGTATTGGCAAGTAAAAGAGAAAAATCCAAGACTTCACCGGACAAATGTTTAATCATTTTATAAGAGATTTTAGAAGGGCCAGAAGCTTTGTTGTTTAGTATGGAAGAGATCACATCAGACCATTCTTGTAAGGAAACAAGCGCCAAAACGGGATCATATAAAGAAGCGGATACACCGGAAAGGGGAGTGTAAGCTTGTTGCCATCGAGCAAGGAATGAAGTAATAGAAGAATAACGGACTAATGAAGGAGAAATAATTGATTGAAAGTGAGTAATAGCAGCTTGCTTAATATCCGAAGGGTCCGTTAATAAAGTAGGAGTAGAGTCCAGGGTAACCAAGACGCGGTCAAGAACAATCGAACGTTTTTCAACTGATAAAGCAGAATCTATAAAAGTGCCAAGCGAGTTTGAAAAGTGTTCATCACGTAATGCGGTGTAGTATTCTACAGAGTCCGTAAGGGAGCTTACACATATTATGTAATTATTATAGGGGGGTAAGGTTTATAATAAAATGAATATTACGTGATATGTGTAACTCCCCTAAGATGTTAGGCGAATTTAGTAGATAGAAAAGCAGAAACTAAATTCTTCTGTGATCGTAAAAATGATTTAAATTCAGATATAGGAGTTGTAGAATAAGTAGGAACTGAATAATCAGGAAGCAAAGATGCAAGATTCTCTAGATGGGAAGGTAGAGCGGCAGTTATACATGCTGTCCAAATTATTTTGGGATGCCATAATTATAATTTGGAATGTCGTAATTCATTCAATTTATATATAATTTACTATGTAAAGTGCCAAAATAATTTGGGATGTCATAATTGAATTTGGGATTTTACTTATAATTACGGCAGCCCAAAATAATTTGGGTGGCATGTATAGTGGCAGTCATCTGCGAAATTTGAGTAGGCCAATTAAAATGACGAGTTGTAAGACGATATAAAAATCGATCTAAAAACTTGTTAATAGCAATAAGTTTAGTTAATTCGGGAGAGTATGAATGTCGGTGCATGTTGGAGACTTTTTGAAAAGATAATGTTTCAATTGCAGCACTAAGTACGGCAGCTTTCAAGGCATGCCACATACGATCAAGAGAAAGAGAAGATAAATCAAGACGAGAATTATATTGTCTGTCTAAATACACTTCAAGAGAATCATCCATCTCAGTGGTAAAATTATTCCATTGTTCAACTGAGGTGGAGGTATAAGAAAAGATAGTACGCAATTCTTTTTTCTGTTTGAGACGAGATTTGGCCAAAATAGCCAGACAAGAGCTAAAGTCAAAAACAGTAATAAGAACTTTATGATCGGTAAAAGGACGATCAAGAAACTTGGGGCAATCAACCACTTGCGAAAAGAGGCCAGGAGCAGGAAAACCAGGTGAAGATCAGATATAATCCAGTCTAGAAGATCCATTAGTATAATAGAAGGTAGGATCAGGACCCTCGATAGAAAAATGAGCTTGATGATCGGTAAAATACCGAGAAGAAAGTAATCGAAGAAGTTTGAAATGATTGGGTGAATAATTGGAATGGGCGATTTCATCAACATTGAAGTCGCCAAGAATGACTACATGATAGTTATTAGCACGAGCATGATCAAGCCAAGAAAAAAGTTTGGCAATAAGATCATTACTAATAGAATGATGAATAGAACCAGAAGGAGGGTAATATAAGGAAATAATAGAAATTTTCGTTTGATGAAAAAAAAGATCTAATTTAAGAAGGCGACCATTCCAAAAGTCAATTGTTTGAACATGTTTATGAAGAGGAGTTCGAAGCAAAATACCAACACCATCATGAGGACGAGAAGAAGACGAACAGGCCCAATAGGACGGACCTAAAATGATGTTGGGAATGTTCGTTGTTAAAGATAAATTTAGCATTCGAAGGGGAAAGACGAGTGTCATTCAAAGATAAAGCACCAAAAGAAGAGTGAAAAAAAAATTAAGCAAATGTTGTTGTCAAACTGGGGAACATAATCCATTAACATTAATTTGACCAAATTTAATAAGGGGAGAAGGGTGAGGAGAAAAATTATGTTTTTTGTTGTCCATCATTACTACACTATGATAAAAGCGTAAATAGTAAAGGAAGATAAATGTGAATCAAATATTTATTGGAAGTTCGCGTTATCGCGAGCAGCCAAGAATTGTTTTTGTTGAGCCATGCCTTGTTGAACTGTTTTAGTGAGTTCAGTAACTGTAGCAGTAAGAGAGAAGAAGCGATCTTGTGGTGATGCAGCAGGACCAGGGATCAAACTTATACAGGGAGGGAGGGAATATGTGAGTGAGCGGTAAAGGTAGGACCATTTGAAGGTGAAACAGGGGAACTGAAGTCCATGAGATTGTCACTAAGACGTCTAGGATCAGAAGGTTCAATGTTATTCCATCCTTGGTTCATAGATTTGGTCTCAGGAAGAGGAGGAGCTTGAGGTTGCGAAGACCTTGGAATAGGAGGGGAAGAATAGTGGTCTTCTAACCATTTAACTCGATTTTGAAGTTGAGCAAATTCAGTGGTAAGGTGAGTAATCTCTTCAAGTATGGCAGTGATTTGTTCAGTAATATACTGCCAATCCATTAAAGGGGGAACATCCATAGCAGCTATGTTGTGATCCAAATCAGATTGAGAAGGACGATGGGATGACGACGATTTTGTGGTCAAGAGCGTGAGCGTGAGAATCTCGAGCGAGAATGGGACCAGGAAGGAGCTTTTCTACCAGCAGCATCAGCATAAGATCTTTGTTGGAAATTGGCCGGATGCGCAAAATGATTATGACGTTTAGCAGGATGAGAAGGAGGTAAATGTTTGTTATATAATTCACGCAATTTATCATGATTGCTAGACCATGGATGAGAGGGACGTTGAGGAGCACGTGACGAGGCACAATTATCAGGGTTACAACTGGGGCGACCACAACGATGACAAAGAGAGGAGACTTCAGCAGGTTTATGCCAAGTAAGGCCAATAGATTTAAGAGCGCAAGTAATCCCTATAGCTGATTCTTTAGTGGTAGCGGAGGAGAAGTGCACATATGCATATGGCTTGGGATTAGTATATGAATTATAGAAGAAAGGAATGTTGACACTTTTAGCGGAAACTTCATCGGCAATTTCAGAAAGGTCGGCGGCAACCAAACCGCGAGGGAGGTTGGCAAGAAGAGCAACATGGGCGCGTCTGATGGCACGTTGGTCAGAGGAGTAAGAAGCAGGGCAGACACGTAAGCAGTGTCCAGTACAAAGAACAGCCCACGTGTTATCAAATTGGTCCATGGACGTAGCAGAGTCAAAAACTATATACGTAGTGCGATAAAGTTTCGAAAGGCGTGTTCGGCAGTGGGTAACAATGCCATAACGAGAAAAAGTACCCTTAATTGTGCATCGGTGACAAAGAGAGGGACATCGGTAACTACCAGGGTACGAAGCTGTTCATCTACCTTTTTAGCAGATGGATCATGTTCATGGAACTGTAGATCATATAGGGAGGCGATGGGCGCAGCGATAGCCTTTTCCATATCGGGTTTAGAACGAAAGTAGACAACGATAATTTTAGTGTCGCCTGATCCTTGAGTGGTAGCTTTACTACCATAAGAGGAAAAAGAAGAGAATTCTCGGTCAGTCACGTCGCAAGCTTCGCGATTGGTTTTGAAGTGGGTCCAAAATCCTTCGATAGTAGAGGGCGTAGCCGCAGCATAAAAGCGAAGGGGAGAAGACTGTATAGCAGCGGTAGACATATCAGGAGACGTGGCGCGGTCAGGTTTAGGAGGCAAAATTTCTACAGATTTTCCTTTGTCTGCAGAGTTAGAAGGCGAGTGTTGGGAGTCATCAAGGGAGGTACTAGTGTCAGGAGCTGAAGGGGGTGCATTGGTATCAACGGGAGGAGGAGAAGAAGTTGAAGTATTATCCTGAAAAGCAGGAGGGGTCAAAATATTGTCTTGGTCCATGATGGGTTCAGAAGAAACTCGAGTGCGTTTTGCAGAGTTGTCGGTCGAAGGTTGCGAAGTAGGACCAGGAGTAGAAACAGAAGAACCTTGACCTTGAACGTTGCCAGAAGAAGGACTCTGAGCAGGACGTTTTGGAGCAGAAGTACCAGAAGCTTTATTGTTTCGTCTGTTAGTCATAGCTAAAAGTAGAAGGGAGAACTAGAAATATGTAATAGTTAATAGTAACGCGAAGTAAATAATAAAAATACTTCGAAAAATTTTTTTATTTTTTGTCGCAATATTGTCGTGAAGGCAACAGGAGAGAGTTT